TTGAGATATTATGAAAAGAAAGTGGGTTTTTTAAAATTTTAAAATTTTTGTTTTTTGAAAAATATGTGTCCTGAAGCAGCCAAACTGATACTATCTATCAAACTCTTCATAATAAAGTTAATTCTAGGCGGAATACGATTCATTTTAATTTTGGTGGAAATGGCACTTATGAAACCCATTGATTTAAAAGAAAAAACATTAGATGCTCCCCTTATTTGCAATACAGCTCACTTATTTTACGTGCAAAAGACTTTTAATAGTGCTCATTTTAAAGCTTATTTCAAGCACTACAAAACGCTTTTGTATTAGAATGCATAAAATGCATCTGCTCGCTGCTAGATGGCATTGACCACATCGATTAAATTTCAGACAAAATAAAAAACGGCTTTGATCTTTAATATCTAGCTTAATATTGCACTTAGAATACTTTATAAAAAACCAAATTGTACATTGTTTTACCTGCTACAATTTTGTTCTTTATAAAATTTTCGATAAAACTTATATTTTTGGAGATATTTGCAAAAACCGATGAAAAACGGGGAAAAAATTCGAATTTTCAATTGCCAATAACTTGAAAAGTATTGGATTTTTTGAAAAACTTTATAGATGATTTTTTGCTTAAAATTAGGCTTTCTATCGATATACGAGGTTATTTTGAAAAAAAAAAATCACCCCCGAGAAGGGGTGGCAACCACCCCCAGGGTGGTTGCGGAGTTCAAATCATTTTCACTTTTGAAGTTAAGGGTAAGATGAACCTAATTCCAAAATTGTATGCAATTCGGTTCACAGTAAAAAAATTCGGAGCAATAATGCTTCAATGACTGCACTATATCTATTTGGTAGGTACCTAACTGTATTTGGAATTCAATCTAGGTAGTACTTGAGCTAAACGAAAAAGTGGAAAGTGAATTATTTTTTGGCTTAACTTTAAAAATAAAAACGCGAATTTTACATATTCAGAAGCTGAATTTAATTGCAAAAGAATTTTTAGGGAATATTTCCTCGACCACTAAGCTATTAAAGTATATATTAATATTAGCCTTGTATTTAAAACTATATCTACGGAACACTAATAGCTGCTATAGTCGGTATGAGATTATAATAGTTAAGTACATGTCCAACAAAAATGTTTATTTTTTTTATACCCAAATGCTGCACGTTAGATTGACCTTGCTCGTTCAACCAATGAGAAGGAACTATCAAAAACCAAAATATTGTCTCAGCGTTATCTCTTTGTTCTCTCGTTTTGCTCAAATGTCAGGCATGTCACGCTTTTGCGTTAGCTCGGGTTGAATATAGGTAGATAGGTACACAACATTGTCCAATTTCACGATAATTTGCGCTGTTTTGTAACTACGAGGCGGCGTTTATGGTAGAGCTTTATGAACAACCACATATTGCTCTCGGCGATGTTTTGCAACTTAACGCGGGCTCTAAAACTTCGATGTGATGAATATTATTTTACAATAAAATAGTTTCAATGGGATGTTTCAGAGGAGGACTGGTAGGTTCTCGAAATTTTTATATGCAATTGTTTCATTTTTATAAACGTATTTTTACAAAATTATGTTGCTATTTATGGAAGTCATTAAAACTATTTACTATTATGTTAACCAATAGTAACCATAGCACGAACCAATATTTGAAGCGTATCGATCGAAATCAACTATTCGAATTCGATATAGGTTCGTGCTAAGGTTGCTGATGGTAAACATAAGAGTAAATAGTTTTAATGACTTCCATGACAAAAGAATGCCTATGAAATTGCTCTACAGTTTACCGCATATCTGATTTGGCATTAGACGCTGAACTACTACACATAGCATTGGACTATGTTGACGCAACTTGGCTCATTTCAAGCACTTTGGTATTAGCAGTTCGGTTCCGATAAAGAAACTATTTCAACATGCTACGAAAATATCACGACCACAACGTTCCACAGAATAATAGTTTGTAGAAACTCGGCGGAGCCAACAAATTATAAACCATTGCCATTTAAAACATGAAAGATTGAACAATCATTTGTCAAAATGTACCTTTGGAACTGAAATGTGTACTTTTGAAATTTTGTGGGTGACTGAAGCAATTAGATATTTAGATTTTTTTTAATAAAATTTCTTTATGTATGTAAACTGTAGAAATTAAGTAATGGGTGTATTTTTTTTTGTATTACAACGAGAAATATAAGAACTTATACATGAGAATATACATAAAAAAACCGCAAAAACTGAATGGATTCCATTAAAGAAAGTCATGTTTTGTTACTTGGCGCGATAAACTATTAAAAGAAGATTTTACCGATTCTTATATCTTTAAAGACAAAAACCACAATTAATACCATTTTTCTGGATACGGTTAACTAATTGCGATAGGTACTTTAGTTGGAGTTATCTATTATTTTCTGATTTCCTTACCCAAGTGAACAAAAATGAAATAAAAGTTTTTTACAAGATTTAAAATTCTTAAATACAGCCAATGTTACAATCAAATTACCTCCCTATAATTCTAGTTTATTTTATGTTGTCATAGAGGTATTAGAAATCTCTATACACTCTATGGAAATGTTAGCTACCTACCTTACTTAGACTGTAGTATGTACCTACATACAGCCCCTGTAAGCGAGATAGCGAATGCTGAATATGAGTGTTCCATTCTGTGGGGTTCCAGACAAGGTAGGATACCTGTTATATAGATCATCATATGGGCAAAAAACCCCAATAAGTTGTGCAAGTCATATAAACGATATGTTAGACCCTCTCGTAGTGAAGCCACAACTGGAATCAGTCACAGTTGTGGTTTCGCTACCAGAGTTACATAGCTTTGATTATTATTACTACGTAGAAATCGAAGGATAGAACTGCGGTATCCGTCAATACTTTGTCAGTACCACATAATGTAGTTAATACTGTGGGCCATACGTTATCTTTGTAATTTTACAAACAGTGCTGCAGATAAGTTGTAATTTTTACCTGGCGTATGAATAAGAATGAAAAGCTATGATGACTTATTAAAGCTCATCGTTACTAGCCGACTGCTATGATATTTATCGAGTTTAATAACACGTAAACACAGAAAAAGGCAAAACTGCCATCCGTAATAACCAGGAAAAAGACGTTTTGCTACGCATGAATGATCATTTGGGTTTATAGGAGTGATATTCGAAACCGATGCTTATTTTATTTGGTGCTGTTGTTAAGCCACATAAGTGAAGAGAGTTGGGAAGGGAATTGGGCATAATAGAACATTGGAGATGTAAAGAAAAGAAAACCGCAGCAAAATAACATTATTCTGTAATTTACGCAAAACCGCTTGTCATAGGATGAATCGTTTTACCCATCTTGGTATTTCTTAATAAAAACTCATCTTTTAAGCATACCTAGTTTACAGTAACATTTTATTGCATTAGTGTTGTTTTTACATTGCGCTATTTTAAATTGAATTGAAGACTTTTTGTAGTTTCACAACAAAAGAGCGGGATATACTGTAAAACCGAAAGACACGAACGAAGATCGTCTAATTTCACAATTTGCTTAAACACTTCTTCGCACGTCTAGGTTGACTGTTGTGTCAAACGTGTTACGTAATCTTTCTGAGACGATGTCGGTTTGGCGCATACTTAGGCACATTTAACAAACAAAAGGATATGGATCTGCCATTTTATCTCAGTCACAGTCCAAATATGAGTAGATGATTGACAGGCATGAAATACACATACTTACTTACAGTTAATTCAAACGAATTCTTGTTCTTCGTTATATTCATCACTATGTACTTATGGAATACATCACTGAAAGAAAAGTGTCTATTTAAAGGATAAGATTTTTACTACCCAGATACCCTACATACTAGGCTGACTTTCAGCCACAGTGCTATTCTGTAAGCACAAACACATTTTTCACCACTGAATTCGGTGGTGTGTTTTGAATATATTTAAAATCCGTTTTCTAATTCTGGCCCATTTGCCAGAATGGCGAAGGGTGTTGGTTCGGATACAGCCTGAAACGTCGAGACTAGTTAAATTTTCCAAGACAATTAATTTAATTAGATTTAAAATTCTAGTAGGTCATAGTAATTTAAAAAAAAAACCTAATATAAATATGACAGTTTAAAAATCACGAATTTTATTACCTAACTGCAATTTAACTGTGAAATGTGTCTTGCCTGCGTCATAGATATACACATATAATATTATCTCATACTTTCGCTTTTCACGTCTTTGATTATGCAGCAAAAACGTGATATACACCTTTTTTTCATGTGAATGAATTTTTTATCTACATGGATAGAAAGAAAAACTACAAACTTTCCTTCCATCCATGCAGAAAGACAGCAGGAACCTCTAGTGTATGCACTAAACTGGTAGTTTCAGAAATTATGTTATGCGTTAGGCTGCTCATCAGTCCTATATTATTCACCAGTAGGTTATTATATTTTTATTTTATTAATATTTAATTGCTATGCTACCGCCATTACTAATAGGGCCGCGGTAGCATAATGGTCAGTGCATCCGCCCGGATAGCGGAGTGAGCTGCATGGTCCGTGTGGATTTTTTTGTAGTTAAATTTTCTTTAGGTATAATGTTATTCCTAGACAACAACACAGACCTAATCAGTGGTGTTGTTATCAATGCAATATCCCATGTTATATTCGCCTTAAATTCTTCTTCACCATCGAAGCTAAGACGTTACATTTTGTAATTTAATTATGACACTATTAGAGGCCGCCCGCAATTTGTCTTTAAGTATCACACAGGAATCTGACATTTCCCGGGATAAAAAGGATCCATTTTGCGTGATTGAGAATTAACATATACTATTATATTTTTAATATTAGTTTACGACCTCTGTGGCTCAAGTGGTATATACGCCTGTTTTCAAGGTGCCTTCTCAGACGTCCCGAGAGGGTTCGAATCCTGGTGGGGTAGCAAGGCCAATTGGTGCGTGTGTTAGAAATATTTATTTATTAGTAAGGTGAAGTTACAATATTGGTTTCCCACTTAGCTCGGCTACGGATGGTCGCACAGCGGTCGGCGCTGCGCCCGGCACCGGCCGCCGGAGTCGACGATGTCGGTGAGCAGTGACATACGGTTCACACGGCGCAAGCTGAGTCGCCCGTGCCGCGGCTGTTGCGCCGCGCTCGCCTCGCTACTCGTGCTACTTCTGTTGGCCGCCGTCGCTGTCTACCTAGCACGTATGTTAATTATACCAATTTCTAATGTTAGAGACACACTAATGGGAAATACCGTTAGCGATAATGGACGTTTGACGTATAACACGTGCGCCATCTGGGTGCAGTCGGGGTATGAGGTTGCGGGGAGGAAGCATTCCCCTGCTGTATACTAACTCGAGCTGTCTTCTAGCGAGCACTAAGCATTCATTAGAGCTGCACTCAGACACGGTAATATTATAATATCTTGTGCCTACTGTATGTATACGTTGAATATTCATCATCGTGGTATTTCCCGTTAGTGTAGCCCCATAATAACAGATTTTCATGAAGCCCTTTTCATGTTTTTTATTATTATAGAAAAATTATTTATAAAACATTATTTCATAAAACAAACCGATTCGGCCTTATTAGACTGCCAATTTAAGTACTTTCGCAATTTACCTACAACTGGTGAAGCCTCACGTCAATTAAAAACTCAACCTTATTTTATTTGTATGCAAAGTAATGAATTGGTGACGGTGCATTTTTAACTTGCGTGTTAAGTTGGTAATTTGATAAAATTACCGGCGAATCCAATCGAGCGTCGCAATTGAGAGCAAAAGATTGAATACTTCAGATGCGGAAAGCATTTACAACTGTGTTAAATAGATTATTTTTGTTACAAATACATTTATGAATATTCTATGTTGCTACATTATAATTGATTTCAAAATAGAGGTGGGTTTCCGATGATGAATATGATTTGTATTTACCAACAAGCAAACATCTTTTCATTTCAGAACATTATTTTGTTTTCAGTATGTTATTATATTTTTATTTTATTAATAAAAAAATAATAACCTCACAGTTCGGGTGTTTTATTATATTTCTTCATGCTAGATTTTTAAATGTATAAAATGGTTTTACTAGGGAAAAGTTATCTTTTCTTACCAAGGCTATAGCATCGCACTAGAAACCTTCGTTCTTCGGGCGAATGCACTGACCGTAAAGGACGCGGACGTGTTGAATTTCTTAGACTTTTGTGTTTAATTTCTTAGACATTCAATATTTTTTTAATTATTGCTAGTAATATGTTTTATCAAATCCAATTTTTAGGTTATGTGCATTTACTTAACGCAATTCACCAAATGTCAATGAACTTAACATAATCTCTATTAATTAATAAGACTATATTATAAAAATTAATAACACCTAATTATTAAGTACACAGTAATAACTTTAAAATGTGTTTTAGTTTTTAGACCAACTTTTAATTTGTAAACTAGTAAACTTCTATGTAAAGCTTAGCATTCGATAGTTCCTACTCAAGCGTGAATCTGTAATAGAACGCTTACATAAAAGCCATTCTCATAATTACAACTCCCCTTCGTTTGAAATTCAGAAAAAATAAAGCGGTCTTTGCGTTAGTAAGTAATTACGTACTTAACTTGTTTTTTTATATCTTCTAACGATAAATACCACCTTTAACAATAGGGGTGATGACGGGGTACAGTAAACGAAATTCTATTTAGTCCGTCAGTTCGATGATCAAAAAATAATGGACACGTATTTTTTCTTTAGGTAATCAACCATAAAATGACTAAGTTATAGCGCGTCGAAGTTTGGGAGTAGGGGCTCGTGACGTCACTTTTAAGTGAAAATTGTACCAAAACGTGACATCATGCGACTTTTCAAATCAATATATCTGCTCTATGTTTATATTATGTGAAAAAAGAAAAAATACGTGTGAAATACTTTTTACAATCTACCTGATAAACGAAGAAAAAAAATTAGTCATCATCCCTATTAAAGCAATTATTTAGAATTCTAGACATACGCAAGTGAAATTTCTCATTGAAATATTACACTTAGTAACGAAGATAATCCTCAGGGTCAGGGATTGGGACAGGTGAAGCGCGTTGGTTGAGCTGAAAAGGTGACTATATGCTTTAGCCCGTCACTACCTAAGGCCGGTGACATAACGACCTTGCGAATTGTGAGCTGCGCCTGCGCCCGCGCTGCTCTATCTACCGCGACAGGTGCTCCGCTAAATATCTTAATATGTAGAGATATTATCTCGTATAATATTATTCGTGCTGTAAACTAATTATTTATGTGACAAAGTCGATATTCACCGACAGTGTCTCAATAGATAGACTCAATATATTTTAATAACTAAATTCTAAAGTACGACTAGTGACTTTTAAATCAATCCATAATGTCATTATCATTAGACATATTATTTGTATTCAGTAAAATTGAATGAAAAATGCAACCCAAAGTTTGTATTATTCATAATAAGCCTCGTAACATAAAAAAAAAACAAGACACGTTGCAATACCTCTCAATATTTCTTGTTAACTAGCGCAGAAATTCTCAATCTTTTATTATTGCAATACAATGCCTTATTATACCTCTTGCAATCTATTTAATTCCAATTCATAATTAGTATGTTACAAAATTAAAAGCTGTATGTATGTATAAATGAAAATGTTTCGGTATTCGATTTAATTTTTTTTTTTTTTTTTGATTTAATTACATATATATAACTACTTCTTAAGATTGTGATCTAAAATAACTAAAAATACTTGCATAATTAAAGTATCTGGTAACAAATAGGTAGGTTCATGAGAACGAAATTATACTACACTACTTCATTTGGATGAATGGAGTAGACTGAACTTTTTGTGGGAAAGGCCTTAAAGCAAAATTAAATGCCGCGATATTGTACTATAATATCCTCAGTAAGATAATCAGATGTTAATATTTGTACTTAAGATATAAATCTGAATATAGACAGGTTGTTACTAAGTGACACATTATCTCAATACACTTTGAACATTATAATACATCATATTTCTATGTAAATAATAAAATAATAGTATCTAACTGATGGACTAAATACATTATAATAAACAAATTAAGTTTGAATACATATTTATGAGGATCGAAAGTTTCCTTCGGTTTACCTACGTAACTCAAAGCCACCACCACCACATAGTATAATAAATATTTCTTCGCATGATATTTTTTTTTCTGAATTAACAAAATTACATTGTGTAATGTCAGTCCAGTAGCGCCACCCTATATCTATGAAACTGGAGTAGCAAAAAATCTGGTAGAGTAGTTACTTAGTTGTTTTTTTAACTACTACTGTAGTTACTTTGTACACAGCGAAAGGTGAGTTGCGCCGCCTCAGATTATAAACCAATCTATAATCTGAGAGCGTCGCTATTCCAACTCCTTGGGCTCCAATTATATCTTGTATAATCAATATCGCTTTCATGAATCATGATAAAAGTGCGTTAAGTTTTATTTTTCTTTCCAGATTTATATTTGTTTGGCGACCCGCTGAATCGGCAAACGTTTAGGGGTTCGTTCGTTGTGTCATCGTGGACGCAGAGCGAAGCTTCTCAAGGGAACAACACTCGCGAGGCTCATCTGCAGCATGCTTTAAGCGACTTATATCAGAACACCGAACTTCGATCCTGCTTCGTGACCGCTGAAATATTAGCTTTAGATAGGTAAGTCATATTTTTTATCGATCGATAGTAATTCCCAATCAGCCTATTAATGTAGTCACTGCTGGCGCACAAGCCTTCTAATAAAGTAGACTAGAGTGTGCTGCTCGGAGATTAAAGTGTCTAAGCCTTGAGTACTTCGGTTCAATCAGGATTCGCCATGTTCAAGCATTTCGCTCAGAATTCAATATGTAGCCCGTATACATCTTAATCCCTGTGGTGCATAATCTACTATTATGTTACTGTTATTTTAAGCAAAAAAAAGTATATTTACCGAAAATTTTCGAAGCAAAACCTCAACGACTGATAGAGAAACCTCGTAAAAATAGTTGCGTAATTTAGGAGTTAGCGTATACGCGGAATGCGACTTAATTTTCTACTATGTAAATTCATACTACCTTTAAGCAGATATAGATTTGACTTAATGATAGAGTGGCATTCATTAGGTAAGTGTAATAGAGCGCTTTTGTTGTAAACCACACTTGACATTGATTCTTGCACGCATTCAGGAACGATAAGTGTTGGTTACAAAAAACAACACATTTTGGGTTCCTTACTCAAAGAGTAACAACCGAACCTTGTACTGTAAAACCTCCGCTATAATTATGAGCTATGGTCGGTAGACCATTAAATTTTTCAAAGAATATAAACATGTTTCTATTGCCGAAAGTTCTTGGGGTTCCACACAAAAGGGCTATATTTGGCATTTTTGCTCGGCCATTACAATCGTTGTATGTATTTCAAATATTTTGCCTCTTATATCTTGCTTGCACGGAATTTATTGTCTAATAAAATAATAAATTTTACTATTTGTGCCTTCACCGAATCACACTTGCCCGGATTTTAAACAGACACGTGAACCACCTACCTGGCTTACTTAAATTAAGTTTGAAATGTGATATCAATGAACTAATTTGTATTAATGCACAGTTTTATATTACATACAGTACCTACAGTCAATTGAGTTTATTTGAAAGTACTTAGATCTATTTCTCTTCAACCGTAAAACGGTGTCAATCGTTGTAAGAACACGGGTTGCTACTTATATCAGACATAAGTAATTACGACACCGCCTACAGTTAAACTGGTTACTTTTGAATACCCTACTCAGCAGGAAGCATTGTCTTTGACCTTTGTACTTGACATTAAGAGCCATGAAGCTTAACTCTAGGCACTACGCTTGTCCACCATGCTAGACAGCAGCTGCTTAGTCAATTGCTGGACAGCCGGGTTTCATACACTATGATAGACGATGAATTAGAAACTGACCCAATTATTTATTTATTTACTAATTTAGTACAGAAACAAAATAAAACAGATTAGAAAAACAGGAACAAGAAAAAAGTGCAAGGGCCTATTTTTTTTTATATAGTAACAATACTTGTTATTTGGGGAGGAAATAACATTTGTTTAATAAATTTACATATTTTATTTATCACGGAGTTAAGTGACAAAACTGTATTAATCCACTTGAAGCAAATCGGGAATGTAAAAAAACTTGGACGATGGGTACCTCATGAATTAAGTGAGTCGAAGTTGCAAACACGCATCGCCTGCTGTGTTACATTGCTCAACCGACACAATAATGAAGGGATTTTAAATCTTGTGAAGAAAAGTGGATACTGTACAATAATCGGAAGCGCTCGTCGTAATGGCTGAACCCTGGAGACCCAGCCAAATCCTGCCCTAGACGAAAATTGACTCAGAAAAACTTACTTGTGGGTCTTTGGTGGACTAGCGCCGCGCCGGTGTCGTTCACTACAGCTTTCTAAAATCTGGCCAAATGATTACGGCAGATATCTATTATCAGCAACTGCAAACCATGAAGGGAGAACTAGCTGCTAAACAACCGAGATTGGTCAGTCGCTGTAGGCCACTGCTGTTTCACGACAACGCAAGACCACACACTGCACAACAAACAACCACTAAGTTAGATGAGTTACAATTGGAATGTCTGCGACTTCCACCGTACTCCCCGGGCCTTACTCCGACAGATAACCATTTTTCCGGAATTTGGACCACTTTTTACAAAGAAAAAAATCAACTCCGATGCGGCAGTCCAAACCGGCTTCAAAGAGTTTATTGATTCTCGCCCCTCGTCCCATGAGATGGCAAAAATAAATATATTTTACAAAAAACTTTATATTCCTCCCCTACAAAACGCCAATTTCATATGTAAGGACCTAATATATTTTTTCGCTAAGGTCATTGAGGAATGCGGTTTCGATATCCAAGTAGTCAAATAGTAGTCCATGTTGAGCAGCAAATGCCAGTCAAAGTCGGACTGAAGACTAGCAACGGGTGAGAAGGTTTCACCGTGATCAACACTGGCTAATTTTGTAAAACCCTTGGCAACTAGTCTGGCTTTGAACTTCGTGATTTGACCACTTGTGTCCTTTTTGATTTTGAAAACCTTTGTTGTTTTCCTGTTAGAGGATCTGTCGACAAGAACCTACGATCCGCGTTTTGATGATTAAATCATATTCATCAGCCTGCATCGCTTCCAGCCATTTATCATTCTATGGATGAACACTAACCTCCTTGAAGGTTTCAGGTTCCCGATCTGAAGTCACGTAGAGGTGCTCCTAGAATCTGACAGGAGGTTTCCTGAGACGACTCGGATACTCCCTTTAGGTTCTGGTGGCTCTCCGCTGAAGTCAGTTCAGAAACGAATTTTAAACTTCAGGAGTTGTCTGTTCCTCCAAAGTCGCACGAAGTCGAAGAAGGCACCTCGTGTATCACAATTGATTGTGACTGAGGCTTCAGTTGTCAGAAGATATTAGAGTGACAAGTATCTAGTGATACATATTTAAACTTTATATTATAACAAACTTAATACGGCCAGGGCGTTCTCAGTATAAAAACCAAGTAGAGCTGGAGCATTAAGTCACGGGCTGGAGGGATGGGTCAACGGTGTGATATTTTAGGTTGCGCAAGCGTCTATAGGGTACGGTGGCCTTTTTCCACCCCCCACGACAACGGCTAACTAGTGCCAAGGTTCAAGTCTCAGAGACGCCCGAGTCGAGCCGACCCCCTCAGGTTCGAGTGGTCTAGAGGCTCCAGAAGGAAAGGAGACCCCCCCGTGGGGAGATGCCATCCGCCTGGAATACCTCTAGAGGCACTCAGTTCTCGGCTTGAGGTCCCCTTAGGATTTAGCCGTCCTCAAACCCGGTGACGCTGTAAAGGTCATCTGCGACCAACAGCATACACACAAAAAAAGGTGCCCTCTTACCATCAGGCGTCTACCTCTTGCCAAAAAGCGTTTATATTTAATATTAACGAATTTCTTTTTACTCTTTCTGAACAAAGAAGAAGTTGAGATTTTAACATCACACGCCCGATAGATTTTTTTGGAGGTAGTATGCTTTATAAAAACTTTCCAATAAAGAATGTGGTATTGTTGAGACATATTTATCTGTCTTATATTGTGGACCCTGTGTTTTGCTAGCGATATAAGTTTAAAGTAAGTATGAATTTTATTTTACTCGCTTTCCTGAATATCAGCAATGATCTTAAGAGTTAAGATGAAGTTCGAAACAGACAAGTTATATATACACATCTATTGGCCCACCTTAGAGTTTAGGTTTCGATGGCCCCTACCGAAATATGATTGCTAGATTGAACAAAAACTGTTGATGCAGTTTTAAACTTGATACATTTTACCATCTTTTTCGATCGTATTGTTTTAAATTTGAATTCAGAATACCATACGACATGGAGCTACGCCTAACAAGTCGGATATGCGCCTTGTTAAAGGCAATTGATTATTGAATAAAAAACATGTTTTATCAAATAAAGGTTTAATTTAATAACGCGTGTTGCCTCCATGGGCATCTACCACAGCTCTCATACGATTAGGCATAGAGTTTATCAACCGCTCTATGAAATTTTGAGGGATCATCTCCCATTCCTCTTCTTTGGCAGTTTTCAACTCCTGCATCGTCTGGGCAACTGGCTGACGAGCCCAAACACGTCTTTTTAGCTCGTCCCACATGTGCTCAATGGGGTTCATGTCTGGGCTTCTGGCTGGCCAGTCCATAACTGTGATGTTCACATCCCGAAGATATTCCCTGATGATGCCGGCCGCATGGGCTCTTGCATTATCATGCATAAAAAGGAAATTTGGGCCCACATAGTCCGCGTATGGTATCACGTGAGGTTCTAAGCACTCACGAATGTACCTTTCAGCATTTAATGTTGGCAGCCGTGGTCCTGTAACAACCTCAAGTTGAGTTTTGCCGCTCGCATATATACCGCCCCAGACAGTCCATGAGCCACCGCCATAAGCAACCCTCTCTTCAAAGCAGCATTGTGCGAAACGCTCTCCCTTACGTCGGTAGACCTTCTTCCTTCCATCATTGCCATGTAACACATTTTTAGACTCATCAGAAAAGAGTACACGGCTCCAATCTTGCTGTGTCCAATTTAAATGACTGCGTGCGAAATGAAGGCGCGCTGTTCGGTGGGCTCGCGTTAGTTTAGGCCCATTAGCTAGCTTGTGTGGTACCATATCGCGTTCTTTTAACCTTCTCCGAACAGTTCGAGCGCTCACAGATACTCCGTGGAAGTCGCGAATTTGTTTTTGTATCTCAATGGAGGTAAGGTGACGATTTCTCAAGCTGGTCGTCACGATGAATCGATCCTGCCTTTCAGTTGTGACCCGAGATTGTGGCCTTCCATGGCGACGAACAAAGCCGCCAGTCTCTGGGTACCTCCGATAAACATTTCGGACCGCAGATCGACTTAAATTAAGTTGAGCACTCACGTTTCTTTGGCTGTGTCCGGCCTGAATAAGTGCCACAGTTTGGGCGGCGACTTCAGGTGAAGTATCCATAGATTATTGATAGAACCTCACCTTAATGTTAAGAATAAGTAATGTTTGTTGCAAAACCAAAGATATCAATCACTTTTTCAAGAATTAAATTCAAGTAAACCAATAAAACCAAGTTTTCTTAGTATTCGATTGTTAGATATCAACAAACAGGCTCCAAATTGTCTTTTGT